AGGAAACTAAATTCTAAAAGGAAATAAACTAATCATAATCTAAATAAAATTTAAGAATAAACTTATTACAATTAGAAAAGGAAATTAGAAAAGATAATTTAAAAAAGACAAACTCCTAGATAAAGTGAAATTGTAAATTGTAGTTGTGATGTACTACATCAAGAACCTCCTTATATTTGCAAGTTATGAGTCTGTTTGAAATTGACCTTTAGAGTTCATGGCTTGAGCGCTTAAATCTCGTACTGGGATTGTTTGTCGAGGCACTTCAGTTATGTCCTGGAAAAAGTAGATACAAGAAAAAAAGTGCTGAATACATGGCTAGCATTTGGCCCTTCATTTTTTGACTACAGGTATGTGGATGGCACTGGTTTATATTTTATGCTATTCATGCATCAACCAATAAATACCTGTAAGTGAGACTATACCATGCTCCATAATCTTATAGCCAGCATAAGCTATATCCCTGTCTAACATATTCCTTCCCTGCTTTGTGTAACCATCAAGTAGCAGATATTCAATTATCCTCCCGCACCCCACATACACACATATTCAATTACACATGAAAGCTGATCTTCATTCATGATGGAAAATTCGTTGTTGCTGTTGAAATGAAACATGAAGCTATGGATAGTTCTAATGAATCCATTTCCTTGTGAACATAACATTTGTATGTTTCAGGAAACCAGTCTAGCGGGAATTAAGTTCCTCTCCACTTGACCAAACATCATCTCTAATCAATTTCAACGACCTTAAATAAGTATTATGTTCGATATATTCATCCACTGTCTATATAATTTGGTATAATTTAATTAGTGTAAAAAAGTTCTCAGCCTATACTTTAGCCACTACCTATGTTATGATATTGTGGAACTTATTTAACATCGAACTCAGGAAGAATTGGGAAAGAAATGCCTGATGCACGTAAGATTACTTTTTTTCAATCAGAATCCATTTTTTATGCGAAAATACTATCTCTATGGCTATTGCAGAACATTGATGACATAAAAAATTGCCGAAGAACGAAAGTGCCTGTCTTTGATCTGGAGACTGGTGCTCGCAGTGGCTTCAAAGAACTTGAAGTTTCTGAAGATTGTGGAGTGGTATGCAAAGAATCTGTTTTTTTCAATTTCAAAACTCTGGCCAACAAAGAACGCATTATTTTTAAAATCTAGACAAAGATTGTTACATCTTGTAATGGCATATACTCTGTACAGCACATCTATAGCAGTGTTAGTTTTTCATCTTTGTTTTGATAAATAAGGAAAATTCTCTTATAGAAAGAGAAATACGAGTATAGAGGATGACTTTATCTTCTGAATGGAGATGATAAGAAACTAAAAAATTTAATGCTTTTCATTCCTCTGCTTTCAGTCATTGAGGTATTTTATTGATGGACACACTAAAAGATGAAGCTCATAGTGTTAATATTCTAATTTATTTTCTTCCAGACCAATAAAAATTGAGCCATGCTTGGAGTACAGGGGCCTGACTTACAGGCCCCTGTCAGGCATGATACATTTGGGGGGTTGGGGCCAATTTTTTTTTTTTTTTATTCACATGTGGGGCCTCGGCACAGTGAGGTGCCTGTGAGGCCCCTGGCAATAATGCTCCTGTACTTGGAGCATTATTGATAAAAATTAGCTCTATCATTTGATATTTGAAGGAAGATGCATTAAGTCAGGTGGAGACTACAAATCTAGAAAATAGATAGACCCATTGTATCTTTTATGGTTTGATTACACATGTAACCGTTAAGCGAAGTTTGTTGTTTGAAATACTTTATACGCCTAATCCTATTTAATTGCCATTAATCTGGTCTAAAATTATGGTCCTGCTTGTTTTTGTAAGGTAATTTTTGAAGGTGTCTATGCTTTGCACCCTGAAATCAGAAAATCGCTGGACTTGTGGATTGCTGTTGTAAGTATGGCGAAACATGCATACTCTATTTATATGCTTCAATTTCTCAGTCCCTCTGATTCTATGTTTAAAATCACCACTTTGTAGAAGTAATTACTTGTTATGAAACAGGTTGGAGGGGTTCATTCACATCTTATATCTCGAGTTCAAAGAGACAAAAGTAGAGTTGGCTGCTTCATGTCCCAAAATGAAATTATGACAACAGTGTTTCCAATGTTTCAGCAACATATTGAACCACATCTTGTTCATGCACATGTTAGTTCCTCATATTCATTTTGAATTTCTTATAATATCTAGTTGTTTTTGTTGTTTAAGATGCATTTAAAGATGTTATTGCATACTTGACTTTCGCTAAACTTCTATAGTTTTATCACACTGGAAATCATTTCAAAGTTGGAGTAAGAGCGTTTCTATAATTGATGTGGAACAGTGTTAATTTTATGGGTGTTTCAAATATTTGGGAATTAGTTTCTGGAGCAAACTTTGCTGATTGTAACTAAAAAAAATTGTAAACAAAAAGAAGTACACACACACAATCATTGAGGTACAGGGATATGCCAATGAGATTTCTGAAACTGCTACAGATTGTGCTGCATAATTCTTATAAACATTTAGTTTTGGAATTGTTCAGCACGAGTTAGAGGATTCTTTATTACTTTTTTAATAGAATATTTTGATTTATCGAACGAAAAAAGGAAGAGTTATATAATTGTTCTACACTTGTGTTTGATCGTGACAAGGAGCAGTTACTCTGTTGCAGCTTAAGATCAGAAATGATTTTGACCCTGTACTTTCTCCTGAGAGCTCATTGTTTGTGTTAAAAACTAACAAGCAAGTAAGTCTTTTTGTTTCTTCTGCCCACAACTTCTATAATTTGGTTGGTTTTTAACAGACTTGTACTGCTCACAGGTGGCTTACCAAGATATTCTAAAAATTCTTGACCCAACCAAGATATGCAGTTCCGCTCAGAATTTTATTGATATATATTTACGGATGCCTGGAATACCTTCTAATGGACAGTTAACAGAGGGTGATTGTATAAGAGTTCGAATATGTGAGGGTAGATTTGCATTGCTGATTCGAGAGGTTTGTTTTTTGATGTGAAGAAATTGTTTCTACACAAACGGAATATTTTGATGCTTATTTGGGTATATTTTTTTCCTTTCTTTTCTCTGTTTGTGTATGAAGCCTATTAAAGAAGGAAACTTTATTATTCAGCCAAAAGTGGACTTTGATATCAGCATAAGTACTGTTGCTGGCCTTCTTAACTTAGGGTATGTTGAATATTTGATATTAAAGTCGATATTGCTTCCTAGTATCACTGGTCATCATTATTTGTGTTTCCTTCTGCTAAAAAAGTGTGTGGACTCAGATACATAATCATGTGGCTTATACTATTGCTATCTTCTAGTGTTTTCCTTCGCACTCTTCGACTGTGTCAAAGCACCAGAGACATTCTCCTTTGGAGTGTTGCCCTCTTTTCTTGGTGTCAAAATGCAATGTATGTGATATTTTACACATGTTAAATATTCCGAGGAGATTCTGTTTTGAGATGCCTGTAGGTTTCCTAAGAAAACATTTTATTTATAAGTACTGAGATTTGGTTGAATCACTGAAGATTCTGTGGTCTGAAAATGTTTATTGATAGTAAGGTTCCTCAGTTGATTCTTGGCAAGTCAATTTTGCATAATATAAATAGGTGTAAACAAGCATAGTTCAGAGGAGATCTTCTTTTTCACATCCTTGCATAAGATAACCTGAGCTGCCTTTTAGAATCTACTGTATGTCCTTTTTGCACATAGTATCCAAAGACTGATCATCAGCTTGTTTAATAGTTGAGATATATGTTGAAACTTGCTCTTTCTTATGCATAATTTTATCATTTGTCATCATTGCAACCATTCCTATTCTTTAAAACCAAAAAGTTTCTTGCTGTTACTATTGCATAAATAAGATCTGATCCTGATTATTTCTTGTTATGACTCACCATGTTTTTGAAGCATATTGGTTTGATTATGAGCTGGCCTTTGATCCAAATTTTATCCCTTGATAGTTTGTGTGTTTGGTTACTTCCATCCGTTGACACTTCATGTATTGTCCCTTGTTTCAGGTATCAAGCTATGGCGTATATCGAAGCATCTGCCTATATTTACCAAGATGGAAAGGTTATCTCTCTCTTGTTATCATATTCTGTGTCCATATATGATTATTGCAATTGAGCTCAATTACAAATGTAGTGAGCTTGAAGACTATTTCTAGATACTCTGAAATTGGCTAAGAAAATTCTTTTTCTCATATCACGTCTTCTGTTTTGTATATCGTATTTTGGTGGCCAAGAATGTCTTGAGGTGATAATTTCTGGGTGTCAGTCTGATGCCTTCGAAAGGGAGGTTGAAGAACAAGCTACTAGAAATGTAGAAATCTGAGTAGTTGGATAAACGGTGGTATCAGGTTGGTCGGTAGTAATTGCATAAAAGTGTCAATTTCAAATTTAGTTACAATGATTAGGAATTTAATGATATTGCTAACCACCACTAAACTCTGTTTAGACTACTGGGTTGAAAAATACTTGGATGTACAATGCATACAATTTACAAAAACAGAAAAGATTGGAAGACCCATCAAAATTTATGGTGGCTTGATATATTGAATGAAGATTTCCAGTACGAGAAGATGAGGTCAAAATAAGACTCATTCAGCATCTATTGGTGGCATTTGTTTGACCTACTGTGCCATTTAGATGGATATACCAAAAAGTTATTACATGGGTACTCTCATCTAGCGAGAATGCAACTCTTGATAAGAGGCCTGTACTATGATATGATTGGTCAGAGCTTAAAAAAAAAAAACAGTATTGTTGATCTGATTAAAAGTTCTATAATATGCTTATCCGGTGTGGGCGTTAGAGCATTAAGAGGACCTTTCCCTATTACGAGAGGACCGGGAAGGACGTGGTTTTTTATACATTTCATTTGCAAACTATTGTGATCACAAATTTTTATGTCCTCTTGGTTTGCTACTTCAGTTTTTGGTTTTTAACCATCTGTGATGGCTTTGATTTGTCCTGCCCTGACTGTTGAGTGAAATACTTTAAAATGACGTAATATTGCCTCTTTCTTTTAGATTCTTATTGAGGTTGATCATATACAAGATGTCCCGAGCCCTTACCTTCAAATTAAGGGAATTAATAAAGAAATTGTAGTAGCGGCTGGCTCAGCTCTTAAGCTGGATGATTCATATACCACAAAGGTTTTCCCTGTTTGCTTTTACACGTCCTAGCTTGACACCTGTCATTTTGCATTATGTTGGTTATGTCTCAATGCAGCCTAAATTTGTAATTCACTCTTCTGATATCTGCTCAGAGTTATCTACAAATAATCCTGGAAAGATTGCCTGCACTGGAAAGGAGTTCAAGCGGGATTCATTCTCAGCAAGCTGCGAGATTGCAGGAACTTGTGGATTACATTCAGTCACAGGTAATTGTTCATTCTTGTTAGGTAAACATATTTTGCTCTATGAATTTGGTTTACTAATAAATGTAGCAATGGTGGCGATGTAGAACAGCAAACACAGAGTGAAACAAAGAAGAAAAATGAGAGGAGAAACAAATAGGGAAAGACAACTGGAGAGGGCACAAAATTTTAATATTATTGGATATCAGAAATCAAGTTCTAAATTATTTAACAAGACTACTCCTATTTACGTGTAAAATTTTCTAACGTGAATGAAAACTTATCGACTGGAAATTTCCTAACTTGAACAAGACCAATAGTTGTACGAAAATAAATTCTTTATTAATTTATCAAATGGCTATAAGAAAACTTATCTATAGGCACAGGTAACAGTTTTCTCACCAACTGAACACCTAAGCAAGTCTCTAAGGACTAAAGTTAAAAAAAACCTCTGTATGACCAAGGGTTAAGAGTATGACATGCTATTCATGCAATACCAGACATGTCTACTTCAGTATAGATCATGCAAAATTGAATTAAATACAAACTTACAGTTTTATCTGCATAAGTAATCAGAAAATAAATAAATAAATCCGAGCCCGATCGAATTCACAATATCGTCTCAGAAAATTTTCTCCCTGTAGAGCCCAAGGTTACAAGATATTGTCTCCTACATTGGAACAGATTTTTCGTTCCTACAAAAGTAGCACCTCAATCACATAGGCATGAACTGAACTTTTCCCTTGATTACAAATAGCGAATTTTATATGAATTCTTATTGTAAAGAACTTAATGGTAATGGAGCTACTAATGCATCACAACATATCAAATTATCAAATTTTTACTTAATTAGAACAAATCAAACTATTTTTTCTTTATCATTTTTCTCTATACTATGTATTTAATTTTTCTGTTTCTTCGTATATGAGAGAACGCAACTCTAGTGATTTATATTACAGTTGGTCAGGGTGGTAGAACTCCCTTTTTATCATCAAAGTTCCTTCCTTCACACTCAACTTAGACCTTGCTGCTAGTGACATAATAACATATTAGCTCTAGAAGACATCCATAATTATATCGTTTGGTTCTATAGAGAGAGGAGGATGAGGAAGATGATTTTGTAGAAATTGAGAGTAGCGAAAAGGAAGATGATGGGGAAATTAGATATGATGATGATTCCATTAACGATGCTAGTAATAGTGATGATAGTACAGACTATTAGGCTTTATGGACTGAATAGTGAAGAAAAAGCATCTCAGTAGCCAACTTGATGTTTATTGGGAACAAAACTCTGTTCCTTCTTGTTAGTAGTCGACTGGGATATGGTGAAGAATTTTCCCCTAATTAGGAGCTTTGAATCTCACGGTTTCAATTGACCCATTTTGGGCAAAATGTTGCGGAGTTAGCTAAGAAGAAAGGGGTGTTATTGGAGGAGAATAGTCGTCTTTGAATATGGTGGAGTGATTGGAAAACTAGATGATGTAGAAATCCTTATAGTTGGGGTTCATTGAGAGCCTCTATGAACATATGATCACACTGTAGAACTGCTTGTCTGTAGCTAATGTCAGAGAATCAGGTTTTGGTTAGATAATGTTGTGAAAATGGCTCTCAAAGGATGCCTTCAATCTCTTTCGAACAGCTAGCAATAGACAAGCCTCTGTTTCTGATAGTGCTGTGATGAATGGTAATCAGTTTGTCATTTAGGGAAGTAAACACCCTCCAAAGGTCACTTTCTTTGTTTGCACTGCTGCTATGGAATCCTTTTCAACTTTTGATAATTTGGAGGGAAGAGACTATTCATTAGCTGGTGTTATATGTGTATAGACATGAGAAGAATGTTAATTATCTATTTTTACACTGAAACTGAGATCTGAATCGTGGTATCTTATATTAACTATTTGGAGTCTCCTGAGTATTCCTAGGAGGGGTTTAAGATGTTGGGCAATTGGTGCATCAGGTATAATGGGCTGAGTTCTAGGTGAGGTTGGAAGGAATGAAATGAGAGGGCATAGCGTTCAATTTTGCAGAAAAGATTTATTTCCTTTTTGATTTTTTGGGTGGAGAGAATACTGGCTTGACTTTGTAGATACTCTTATATAGGTTTAGCACGTCGATCACACTTTAGCCTCTATTCTTGAATGACATTTACATGAAGTGAAGTTCTCACTTGTTGATGGTTAGATTTTACTTTTCTTCAACAAACGGGGGTATGCTTTAGAACAAATATGCGTTCAATACAAAATAGGATAGAGTAGAGTTAAAAGGGTATTCAATAACAACATAGATATAAATTGTAGTTTTCTCATGTTCTAATGTGATTCCATTTTTTCAAATAGGGTAGCAGTTCATCTTCAGAGTCATCACCAAGTAGAGAAGCTTTACCATTGGAGGGCATAATTGAAGACATGCAGTCGAGGATCAAAAGGCTCGAAAGATGGCATACGATTAACACTGTATTTCCTCTAACCTCTAAATTTTCCCTCGTCATCTTTCGAGAACAATTTCATATCCCTTTTTGTACTTCTCAGAGAAAAAGATTATTCATCTTAATCGAAGGGTTGTTACTTTTTTGCCGCAGGTGCTATGGACATTTCTAATGTCCGCTTTTGTTGGATATTCGCTCTATCGAAGGAAGCGACAATGATTCTTCATGCTTAGTAACTTAATTCATTACCCGAAGCATTCTCATGATTATTTAACATTTCGCTGACCTCAACAAAACAATGATGCTTCGACAAACTAACCACTAAAGGAAGTATGCTTCTACCTCTGGCCTCCTCCTTCTAACTGGCTGGTTTGCACCAAATTTGACTGCATTTTGCACTATGAAATGCATTTTCTTTGTAAATACAGAAATGGAAGCTGTGTATTATACAGCAGAACAAAGATTAGTTGTTGTAGTGATTATTTCGTGCAATTTCGACCACAAGGCTTTGCTTGGATGAGATCTCTTGTGAAAATTAGTCCTAGGCATCGAGTGGGTCGGTCAGGTTATTTCAATATCGGGAATCACCCATTATACTTTGGGTATTTCATAAATAGAACCATTTTAGTCCACGTAATTATTGGGGCCAAACCCGAACCGAAACCGTCAGTTCCGATTCGAGTTCGATTTTACTCGTAACATTTTTCTAAATAAACTGTGAGCTAACGATACAAATTCCTTTTTCAATAACTAGTAAAAATAGAAACAAAATATATCACCAAAAACATATTCGAACACTATATTATTTCAGTGCAAATATGTTGTCAAATAATATCCAATCCATAACATAATAAGAAAGGTTTGTGAGATGAACAGCGTGTAAAGTGAGATTAAAAAAAATTATCAATATTATTCAATTAAATAAATGAATTTGATTGATTAGTTACTTACTAATTCGACCTAGTACTAGTTAAGCTTGTGCTCGTTGTGGACCCTGTCCCAGGTTTAATAAATTTTAAAAATTTACGAAAAATGATCATTCGATTTTAGAGTTGGGGACTCACAATTCCAATTTCGTTTCGTACCTTGCCGATTTTTCAATTTTCGATTTCGGTTCCTAAATTATTTTTTTGAAACCCGAATGGAACCTCATATTTCGGTTCAGGAAGTATGATTCCAATTAAAATGCCCACTCCTAGTGAAAATTGAACTGATTCACAACAAACAGTTAAATATTTTATCTTATTTGAACTGGAAGATACAGTGTAGCAAATAATATTTTTGGAGATCAAATTACAGTCATGTGGAGCCATCAACCAGGATGAATCCGTACAGCACAAAGAAATAAAATCTTCGAATATTGAACCATGGGTGTAATTGAATAATCCAATCTGTTACCATTGTTAATAGCCTCAAAAAAGCTTGTAAGAATTTAAACCTCGAGCCATCTTTCTTAACTTGCAAGTAGCTCAAACCATTTGATTCTAAAATCATGGCTTCCATGAAACAGCCCTTGTGCCTTTACCATAATATACAGCTGCCGCAATTAAAATGATTAACAGAATGAACCACAAGTTCAATCCTGCAAAATCACATTGATTAATTGGCAAGTGAGAACAGTGAACAAAATGATCGACAAACTCGAAGTAGAAATCGTAATACAACAAAACGTTTAATGTGAAGAATTTATAATTTGGATCCACCTGTATGGTCGATTAAACTAAAGCTGATTTATATAATTAAATATGCACATGTACATAGTAATAATAGGAAACATATAAGGATCTGATGGTGATAATCTCCCGATAAAATAACATTTTCATCATTGCACCAGTCCTTGATGACTTGCAGTAGGATATTATTCCCTATATTACCACCTTTTTTTTTTTTTCAATTTTATTTCAAAATATCAGAGATCAAGAAGGAATCATACCATCTTTCTTCTTATCCTTGATCAGTGTTACCCGGGCACTTGAATCTAGGGACGCCGATACCAGAGCCCTGTTGAAATGGCATCATACTCCAGTATTAGTTTACATTTACAAAAGAGACCGACATGATTGAGAGCCAATTGAAACATTGCCTGCCAAGTAAAAGATTTTACAACCTTGAATCTTGTGAGAATGCTAATGCTGTTACAAGGCCAAGATGTGCTTTTCTGACTACAGTCTGCACCCGCATACTTGCAGAATTTATGATCCAAATGTCTCCTTGTATTGTTCCTCTGCATGTTTATTAGTTGGAAATGGTGAAGCAAATGAAAAGAGCTGTAAAAATTCTACAGATCTTTTCCAACTTTATAAGGTTGGGTTGAGAGTAATAGATATTCCACAAGTCTTTTTTTATTAAAATAATAATAATAATAGTACAGCGGTTCCTAAAATCTCAGTTTGCTTTCACCTGATTCCTATCTTAACTAAAACGTAATTTGATCAAACTCCATTAGATTGCAAACTTCATCCCCATTCAAAGAGGTGACACTTTTTGCAGAGCTAAAAAACAGTTTTAATACCCATTATGGTACCTTCAGAAGCAAAAGCAAGACATGAAAAATAATAAAATAAATTTTTTCTTACATTACAAGGAGCTTTCCATCAGATGACACATTAAACGCAGAAATTGGGTCCCGGACAATGTGTGTTGAACTTATCCTAGTCCATGAAGTAGCGTTCCATTTAACAATACTACCACCTTTACCTGTGCAAGAAGAACAAGAGTTATTGACAAAAGCACTTCCTACAGGTTAGGACGAATGACTTGCTGGAAGATACCCACTTCGCGTTGCGGTAACATACAGAACCGGATTCGAGTCACCAGATCGCGAGAACCTACAAAAGCCGAAAATCTCATCCTGAAGTAGGTGAAACAAATCCAGTCAGAAAAATGAGTCATAACGTAAGAAATTTGAAACTTCACAGGAAAATAATTATTATCCATATTAACTGCTGAATTACCAAAAGTAACATCAAAATATTATTTAAAAAGTTACAAGGCCAATTAAATGAAAAAAACTATGCTATTCAGGGGGCACACTGCCGAAAAGAACCAAAAATAAATAAATTAAAAAAGAAACACGTCTAAAACATTGTTGAGAATATGTTATATTACCAAAAGCTATTTAAATTCAGGATATCCCCAGGGAAAAAGAAATTATTTTTTACTAGTTCTGAAGTCTCAGAATGAAAATAATCTTACATTTTCCTTTGGCAGAGAAGCTATAGATGTTTCTGTTGCAACTTTCCAAATTCTTCCAGGGCCGCTTCCCACAGAGGCAAGAAAACTCCCATCAGGGCTGCAAGATACAACCAGGGCGTCCAATCAAAAACTTCTCATGTTATTAAATAAAAATTTCTTTGAAATATTTATTTAAAACACATTTCCTAACATTGCAATGCAAAAGTTTGAGGTTAACTATTAAGCAAATTTGAACCTGAAATCTAAATCCTTCACAGATGCATGAGCATTAGCCTCATCAAGAGTAATCTCCATGTCAGGCCACTTAAAAACCCTCAACTTGCCATCCTGTACTGCACCAAAATAAAATAATTAAAAACCACAAACAATAATGTTCTTTCATAAAGAAGACACCCACGCTTGATTTTTATGAAGTAGCCCCAACTCAATCTTGAAAATAGAATATCTTCTAGCAAAAACATAGCACCTAAAATGAAAGGAAGATTAAAACACCAGCCCACGAGAAGTCTATCATTTACAGGCTAAATATGATTCTCGAGACAACCTGCAGATCCACATACAAATTAAGTGGCGGTTCTCCTTTCATCTAGGAGATTAAAATGTCAGTGATTAAGGTAATGAGTTACCACAACTAAACAATCAGACAAATCCTTTTACTTGTTGGAAAAGCTATAGAAGAGAGGACTTAACCCAATTACTACATATTATTAAGGGAATCTGACATATTCAGTTAACTTTCCAATTATAAGGTCTCTAAAGCACTCGATAAAGATATTTCGTTCACCGCTTAATCATGCTAAGATATAATACTTTATAGAGAAGGAATACACATCTTTAACCACCACCCCCACTCCCCAACTTCCTGCCCAAAAAGTGAAAAGAAAAAAGTTGTCCAGCACCTCAGCAAATATAAGTTAAATACGTGGAATATCTCAATGGCTTCCCTAATCACTAAACTCATTTTTTTCAAATTGACTTGAAGAATGCTAAGAACTCGGAAGATAATAATGAGATGACCGTAACGTGTGTGAAAACCAAGAAGGTTTAATCAACTTATCCAAAACAAATTTATATACTTATTATTAAGTCTTATATATAACTTTCATTTCTTCTGAAAGGACATTTTCTTATCCACTTATCCAACATAACAACCAAGCCTAGTGTTAAAAGTAATATTTTACAACTCATACATATCAAGTAATCACTTTGAATTCTCAGTCACAGAACATTTAAGCGCTGAACCATACCCTGAAAAGGAATGGAGGGTTGGCTTTGAGATTGTTATCTTGAGGAATTAAAATAACACCAATGTCAATTACCTAAACTGGAATCCAAATAGAGAACAAATAATCAAATGAGTGGTCAAATCTTAGACTTTCCAGTTGACATTTCTTATATCTTAGCTGTAAACATTGACATCATTGTGCTAATAATATTTATATCACAGCTATTATTGTTTGTACAAATTTTTGGATAAATGACAACCCAGTACTGGAGACAAGATTTTTGAAGTATAACGATAAGAGTTTATAAATGAAAAACTCGAAATTCCAATTTCATATTTTCTCTCATTCACAAATTATTTATTATCAAAAAATGGCTCATGCTCAAATGTACCATAAACTTTGGTCGGCCTCGAGTAAAAATCAAACAATATCCTGTGACTAATGCCAACCTGTAAAACTAAACTAAAATGGAACTATCTTTTTAACATCTTTCTCATGTTGTATATGTTACTCTTCACTGTTCCACAACATTAGCACTTATAAAAAATTAGCGAAAAGATCTATAGTTCTTTACCTCACCCCCGACAGCAAGTAGAGTACCCTCATTGTTAAATGTCAGTGCTAATTGTTGGCCAACATCTTCCAATTTCTCAAGAACTTTCTCAGATGATTTCAGGTTCAAAGAATGCTCATCTTTGCTTGTGGTTGAATCCCAGTCAAACCATCTGCATGATTACTCATGTAATTCATAAGAGTATAAATGAAGCTTTGTTTATATACGAAAAAATAACTTATTCA